TGTTGGACTGTTGCCCTCTGCAGGTCTCTGCTGTTTTTGTGTATTTTACAGAATTATTTTGGTGGTTGTGGTCAGTTGTGTTGTTTTCCTGGTGCATTTATTGTGCTGTTATCACATTGTTGGTGGCTGTGGTCAGTTGTGTTGGTGATTCGTGGTTGTGGTCAGTTCTGATTGGTGGTTTATGGTTGTGGTCAGTTGTGTTGGTGATTATGGTCAGTCATGTTGGTGGTTGTGGTCAGTTATGTTAGTAATTCGTCATTGTGGTCAGTTCTGTTGGTGGTTCATGGTTGTGGTTAATTGTGTCTGTGGCTGTGGTCAGTTGTGTTGTTTTTCTGGTGTGCCAGGTGCATTTATTCTGCTGTTATCACATTGTTTGGTTGTGGTCAGTTGTGTTGGTGGTTGTGGTCAGTTGTGTCTGTGGTTGTGGTCAGTTATGTTGTTTTCCTGGTGTACCCGGCATTTATTGTGCCGTTATCACACTGTTTGGCTGTGGTCAGTTGTGTTTGTGGTTGGGGATTCGTGGATGTGGTCAGTTCTGATTAGCAGTTGTAGTCAGTTCTGTTGTTTTTCTGGCATGCCCAGCTCCTTTATTGTGCCATTATCACATTGTTTGGCTGTGGTCAGTTGTGTCTGTAGCTGTGGTCAGTTGTTTTGGTGTTCGTGGTCAGTTGTTTTGGTGTTCGTGGTCAGTTGTTTTGGTGTTCGTGGTCAGTTGTTTTGGTGTTCGTGGTCAGTTGTGTCTGTGGTCAGTTGTGTTGTTTTCTCTCGTGCCCAGGCTCCTTTATTTACCCATTATCACATTGTTTGGCTGTGGTCAGTTGTGTCTGTGTCTGTGGTCAGTTGTGTCTGTGGTCAGTTGTGTCTGTGGTTGTGGTCAGTTGTGTCTGTGGCTGTGGTCAGTTGTGTCTGCGTCTGTGGTCAGTTGTGTTGTTTTCCTGGCGTGCCCGGCTCCTCTTATTGTGCCGTTATCACATTGTTTGGCTGTGGTCAGTTGTGTCTGTGGTTGTGGTCAGTTGTGTCTGTAGCTGTGGTCAGTTGTGTCTGTGTCTGTGGTCAGTTGTGTCGGCGGCTGTGGTGCCTGGCTCCTTTATTGTGCCGTTATCACATTGTTTGGCTGTGGTCAGTTGTTTTGGTGTTCGTGGTCAGTTGTGTTGGTGTTCGTGGTCAGTTGTGTCTGCGTCTGTGGTCAGTTGTGTCTGCGTCTGTGGTCAGTTGTGTCGGCGGCTGTGGTGCCTGGCTCCTTTATTGTGCCGTTATCACATTGTTTGGCTGTGGTCAGTTGTTTTGGTGTTCGTGGTCAGTTGTTTTGGTGTTCGTGGTCAGTTGTGTCTGTGGTCAGTTGTGTTGTTTTTCTCTCGTGCCCAGCTCCTTTATTTACCCATTATCACATTGTTTGGCTGTGGTCAGTTGTGTCTGTGTCTGTGGTCAGTTGTGTCTGTGGTCAGTTGTGTCTGTGGCTGTGGTCAGTTGTGTCTGTGGCTGTGGTCAGTTGTGTCTGCGTCTGTGGTCAGTTGTGTTGTTTTCCTGGCGTGCCCGGCTCCTTTATTGTGCCGTTATCACATTGTTTGGCTGTGGTCAGTTGTGTCTGTGGTTGTGTCAGTTGTGTCAGCTGTGGTCAGTTGTGTCTGTGTCTGTGGTCAGTTGTGTCGGCGGCTGTGGTGCCTGGCTCCTTTATTGTGCCGTTATCACATTGTTTGGCTGTGGTCAGTTGTTTTGGTGATTCGTGGTCAGTTGTTTTGGTGGTTGTGGTCAGTTGTGTCTGCGTCTGTGGTCAGTTGTGTCTGCGTCTGTGGTCAGTTGTGTCGGCGCTGTGGTGCCTGGCTCCTTTATTGTGCCGTTATCACATTGTTTGGCTGTGGTCAGTTGTTTGTGTTCTGGTCAGTGTTTTGGTGTTTGTCCAGTTGTGTCTGTGTGTCAGTGTGTGTTGTGGTGTCTTGTCTGTTTGGGTCCTTTATTGTGTTGTGGTCAGTTGTGTTCTGTGGGTCTTGTGTCTGTTGTCAGTTGTGTTGTGCCATGTTTGTTTTGTGTCATTGTGTTTGTGTGTGTTCAGTTGTGTCTGTGGTTGTGGTCAGTGTGTGTCTGTCAGCTGTGGTCAGTTGTGTCTGTGTCTGTGGTCAGTTGTGTCTGTGCGTGTCTGTGGTGCCTGGCTCCTTTATTGTGCCGTTATCACATTGTTTGGCTGTGGTCAGTTGTTTTGGTGTTCGTGGTGTCAGTTTGTGTTGGTGTTGTGGTCAGTTGTGTCTGCGTCTGTGGTCATTGTGTCTGGTCTGTGTCAGTTGTGGTCGGCGGCTGTGGTGCCTGGCTCCTTTATTGTGCCGTTATCACATTGTTTGGCTGTGGTCAGTTGTTTTGGTGTTCGTGGTCAGTTGTGTTGGTGTTCGTGGTCAGTTGTGTCTGCGTCTGTGGTCAGTTGTGTCTGCGTCTGTGGTCAGTTGTGTCGGCGGCTGTGGTGCCCGGCTCCTTTATTGTGCCGTTATCACATTGTTTGGCTGTGGGCTCAGGCCTGTCACACTCAGACTGACAGAGGTTCAGACGGAGGCACAGATACGCTCAGACTTTATTGAGCTGTCTGTATCAGAACAGGAACCAGGGAGACACTTCAAAATATGTGAATACGGCTAAATAATAACTGGAAAACACTGACAAATATTGTGATTGTTGCCATGGTGATTATTAGAGTATTAGAGAACATATTACATTTCAATTAAAGGAGAAAACTGACTCTTGTGAGCTTTTAGTCTTGTTAAAATGTTGTTCCTGATCCAAATGATTCCAAATGAAGGTGTCTGGAGCAATTCATCTTTTCAAATCCAGGTCCAGCTCATTTCTCCTGCGATGTGGCTGATGTTGTGTTCCGTTTCAGAGTGTTCGGAGCGGCCATCTTTCTCACCTCGATGCTCAACATGTTCATCCCGTCGGCGGCCAGAGTTCACTACGGCTGCGTCATGTTTGTGCGAATCCTGCAGGGTCTCGTGGAGGTGAGTGTGTGTCTAGAATTGATTTGTAGACAAAATATCAAAATAAAACACCAGGATCACTAATAATGCGAACATTTAAAGATCAAAATGACAAGTCTGAAATAGCAGTAAAAAGTTCTTCCCATGATAATGTGGCAAATTCACCAGAAAACCTGAGGGCCAAAAAGAAATGTTTCCCCCGGGCCATAGTTTGGACACCCCTGATATATACGTCTATGGTCTATTCTTCTATTGGTCAGCCATTCTCCATAAACATCATCGGATCATACAGACTTGGAGTCGTTCTGGTTGTGGGTGCAGTGTTCGTTCACACTAATCCGATTGAAAACGGCTCCAGAGTCGGAACGATCTGGTGCCTCCAGCTCCCACGAATTCATGTTGGTACAGATCTGATCCGGCACCGTGTGGACGCCTGAAAACACTGATACTCTGATGTAGGTCTGTGCACCACGAAGTAATTCACCGACAAAACACTAAGAGGCGAGAATATGTGTCCATTCATATGTCCGTGTGTCTGTGTGTACGACCTGCAGACGTATAATCTCTGAAAAGTTTCACATGAACCATCTCCAACACGACAGAAACACAGAACAGACTCACCATCAGCAGAACACCCCTCTGTCACAGAAAGAACACTCATATTCCACTGAGTCGTTTCCTTTAGTCCAACAGAAGCTGAACCACATCAGCGACACAAGGAAAGAGCTGGTTTTTTTTGAGCGTTTCGTTGATGCAAATGTGGTTTTAAGTTTCGTTTCTGTAAAACGTGAACAAATCTGCTCAAAGTTGTGTGGATAGGGGAAGGCTTGCGGACACAGAAACGACGTGTCTGGACCCAAATAATTTATGATACGGTGATTCGTTTCAGTGTAAACGTAACCTTATAAGACTAGTTTCTCAATAATATTTTTAGCCATCACAAATCACACAACTCTTTGCCTAAAGGCCGTAAATCATGAAAAATTGACCATTGTGAGCTTTTTATAATGTAGTTACCTCCTCAAAACAGACCTGAAGTTGTGTTTTGTTTCATTCTCATGTTTGAGTTTGACTTTTATTATTAGTCTGTCCATATCTCCAAAGCTCTAAATGCTCTGTTCCACCTTACGATGTCATGAAGTGGTAGTTTTCAAGTGAACAGCTCCTTTTACCTTTAGTTCAGTAGAGACTGAAAATTTCAGGGCTGGAATTATGCAATCACCCAATCCTAGTGAAGGTGTGTGGAGTTTAAAAACACAGTGGAGCACTTATTGTATTACCACATGGCATCACAAGGTGGAATCAGCCTAAATGTGCAGGGTTTGTGTGTTAAACATGTGAGAATGAAACAAAACACAACTCCAGGTCTATTTGTGATAAGGAAATTAGAACAGAGGTCAAACTAGTGTAATGTGGACCTTTTAATCCCACTGTTTTGGGTTTAAAGGAGCTAAAATAACATGGAGCTCCAAAGATCAACAATCTTGATATTAATGATTTGGATAATGTCAGTAATGATGCAGCAAAAGCTCCTCAAGGAATTTCAACAGGAACAAGCAGCACATTTTTAACTACAGTTCTGTTTACTCTCAAGAATACGGTAAATGTTGAGATCCATATTGTGATAATAACAGGCGCAGAGAGATGAGAGATGTTTGTGTATAATATATGTGATTTTGTTCTCTCCTCATTTCTTGTTTTTTATCTTGTCTCCAGGGCGTCACTTACCCAGCATGCCACGGGCTGTGGTCCAAATGGGCTCCGCCTCTTGAACGGAGCCGACTGGCCACTACCTCCTTCTGTGGTGAGTGTTCTGATGTGTTAAAGCACGAAAGGAAAGTCACAATATTCATCTGTTTTTGTTCCCCTGAATCTAAAACGGTAAAATAATAATAACAACAGTGTTTTATGATTAAAGGTCCAATATTACACACACTGGATTCTTGTGAGATTTAAAGGTTGTATGGAGGATTTTTTTTGGTTTCAAATTGTCAGTGATAGATTATAGATGCAGTCGCCTTGTAATTATGATGACCAAAAAAAAAGAGAATAAAAATTCATCAACTCTGGACGTGGTGGGGCCAGTGAAACATTTGCCAATAGATAACGACACTGCCTCGTTATCTGTGAGCTGACAGGCTGTCAATCAATCTCCCTACGTTTCTAGTGTAACTGACTTGCCTGCGCCGCCGGTACGTGGTTTACGTACGACTGTCACACAGTCCACAGACGCAAGCCGCACAGACACTGTTTACTCCACCAACGCAACAGTTCTTAGAGGCTTTTTGACCTATATCTTCCTCGCAGTTCGCACAAAGTTTGTTGCAATGGCGACAAGAATCCAGGAGCAGTTCGCCGCAAAAGAAAGTCCGTTTTTGAGGTGAAAGAAGAAGACAAGGGGAAAAGCAGCGAAGCCAAACTAAGGTGATTCTTATAGATTCATTCCAGCGATGGCGCGACTGAAGCAGACGAAGGGTCTAAAGACTGACACACTGGTCCACAAATTACTCCTGGACAGGAAACTTCTGCTTATTATGAAAACGTACTTTATTTCCAAGAGCTACACAAACGTTTTTCAGGACACGAAAGCGATATCCTATGTCTGAAAACGTAATTTTCAAGGCAAAGAAAGAGTCCGCTTGCTGCTGCGTCTTGTAGCTAGTTCATTTGCACGGAATCTCCACGCACTCTTCTCTGCACCCCTTTCCTGCTCCCCTCTCCTCTCTCCTCCCTCTCTCCCTGCTCCTCACTTCTCGTCCGCGAACGAAATGTCCGCACACCCGCTCCCCCCGCTCCTCACTTCTCCGTCTTGTCTAACCAACACTGTAGTTAGTTGTTTACAAGTCATGTGCAGCACCGGCTGTAAACAAACCTGTTTCTGGCGTAAGGAGGAGGAGGGAGGAGGCGTTTCTACGTAGGAGCTGTAGGGGAGGGGAGGTGGTTTCACGCATGCGCAACATTTGAAAAAGGACAAACAGTCGCTGGATTTCTCGTTCCTTGGAAAATCCTCTATACAACCTTTAAGTCATGGTCCCTCCTCAAAAACAGACTTTGAGTTGTGTTTTGTTTCACACGTTTGAGTAACACTTTATTATTAGTCTGGCTACATCTCCAAAACTCAAAATGCTCTGTTCCACTGTGTGATGTCATGGAGTGATAGTTTTCAAGTGAACAGCTCCTTTTACCTTTAAGGCCGAATTATAGCTCTGCGTCGACTCCCTGTACATTGTCGCTGTCATTTTTGACTTATGGATTTTCGCTGACGTCTGTGTGCCCGAAGTAATTCACCGCCACAACACCAGGGGGCGAGGATTTAAAAATGGCGTTCGTGTTTACAAAATTAAGCGGGAAAGCGGAGTACCGGAAATGTCTGTAGAGCGGATGTAGAGAGGAACAATCACAGCCCATATTCAGGGTATCCCCGAGTTTGACGACGCCAAATTTAAGACTCTTTTAAGACCTTTTTAAGACCATTTAAATGAAAATTAAGGCCAACATCGTATTGTACCCATTATGCACACGAAAAACACCAGATCCAATTCTAATAATGACCAAACAACTGTATCTAGAATCCAGTGTTGTGCATGAACGAGTTCAAAAGAACGCGTTCACTGAACACGTTCATTTTTCAGTGAACTTTGAACTGAACGCAACACTTTTGTAAATCAAGAACTTGAACGTGAATTTGTTCAAATTATGTATGATGAACGACGTACGTCAACTGTTGGGGTTCAGTTAAACGTCGGAATTTGACGAGTGATGATCTGCTCGCACTTCACCTCGCGAAACCACAGCCGCGTGTCAACGCGAAGGCAACTCCACCGGCAGTTTAGCGAACGTACGGGCTCTTGTGTCTCTCAATGGGAAGTCAATCAAACTTGACTGGCGCGTTTAGCTGCTTGTATTACCTTCTGTACAGGCTGACCACGGCAAACGCAAGGATTTCAAAAGTAAATTTCAAAGCACTAATTAACAGTCTATGTGGATCTGGGCTCTTTCACATGATCCACAACTGCCCAGGGAGCACAATGTGCTGATGGTAAATGCGCAAATACAACAATAGATACATGCTCTCTGTGGATTTTGACGGGGATACGCACCTACGCTCGTGTAGAGCGTCAAAAAACAGAATGGATCCTATTTTCTGAAAAATACACGCACAGGACGTTGCTCCGCGCGCGTATTATTTACTTGGTACATATGTCAGTGGGTTTTTCGTTTTTCTTCATACAAATTTGCTAAAATCACCGCGATATCAGCAGCGGTGAAACGCCGGAGGTGCGCCCGCGTAGACCGTGATCCTGAGCGAAATGACCGCAGAAGTCCGCGCTCCACAGAGCTGAACGCAGCTGATGCCCGATCGCACTCGGGGTTCTCTCAGGGGCGGTCCTAGATTCCAAGTTCTAGTCCAGGATTAGTCCTGGTTTGGTCCTGGTTTAGTCTGGTTTAGTCCTGGTTTAGTCCTGGTTCAGTTCTGGTTTAGACCTGGTTCAGTCCTGGTTCAATCCTGGTTTAGACCTGGTTCAATTCTGGTTCAGTCCTGGTTTAGTCTTGGTTTATTCCTGGTTTAAACCTGGTTAAGTCCTGGTTCAGTCGGTTTAAAAAAGTGGTTTAGTCCTGGTTTAGAACCTGGTTTACCTGGTTTAGACCTGGTTCAGTTCTGGTTTAGTCCTGGTTTAAACCTGGTTTAGTCCTGGTTTGGACCTGGTTCACTGGTTTAGTCCTGGTTTAACCTGGTTTAAGGTCCTGGTTCAGTCCATATACGGCGCAAAAGTTCAGCATCTTAACAGTTCTTTTGGTGAGAGTAAATTAAAAGTGCTGCAATAGTCGTGTCATGTTTTACATTTTTAATACAGTAAACTGTAATGTAACAAATGACTTTTGAAATGACAGTAACAAGTCATAAATAACACATTACAGTTTTAAAGTCACTTGTCCAACAGTGGATCTTGTAAAGTTGTTGTAAACTAGAAGTCAGTTGAAAAATAAATGCAGCCTTTCATTTACAGATTCATCTAAATATAAAATGAACTGAACTTTGAACTAGTTCAAAATTAAAATTGTGAACTATGAACGTGAACTATTCACTTTGAACAAGTGTGAACTGAACTTTGAACTAGTTCATGAAAAGTGTGAACTTGCACAACACTGCTAGAATCTAAGAGCCACAAACCTACACTTCCCCATGATCCATCCAACGTCTTCTTCCACTCTACCAATTTTTTACTTATTGCCGCCGGCGCCAGAAACCAAAGTATTGTTTTCTCATACTCCAAATTAGACGTTCATTCACGTTACATGATTTCACGTTGTTGTTTTTCCCTCCCTCCGTTTAACATTTCACTGCAGCCTGGTTGAGTTTCCAAAAAAAATAAAAAATAGGCTAATGAAATTTAAAACCTTTGTGAAAAAAAAAAGACTTGGGCAACATAAGTTAAGACTTTTTAAGGCCTTCATTTAGGATCATGAAATTTAAGACCTTATTAAGATTTTTAAGACCCCGCAGCTGCCCTGTTATTGTCTCTGTCGCTTTCACTGCTGTTTGTGTCTTTTCGATGCATAGTTAGAAAGTTTTGGCGGTGCGTGTCAGTCAACATGACCAGGAGGGGGTTCAAGACAACGCTGAAGGTTGAATTATATTTCGGTGTCGACTCAACACACACTGACGTCATTGCCTTGTCACCTTCGTTTTTGATTTATGGATCTGCGAGGACGTAGAGACGACCAATCACAGGCCTTATTGTCTGCGTCGCTTCCTCTTGCCGACTCTGTGTCGTGATGCAGACGATTTGACGCGTGACTATAAAGTTGGTTTTAGTTCAGTAGAGATCGGCAATTCCAGCTGTGAAATGATCCAGATGATTCTAGTGAAGGGATGTGGAGTGGAGTAAAAACGCAGCGAAGCTCTTCCTCTATCACCACATGACATCACAAAGTGGAACATAGTGTTTTCTGTTCGAGAGAAGCATGATGGAACTACATTAGAACATGGATCAGTGAATATTAATATGAGCTCTTTAAACATTGGAGATTTTAAAACAGATGCTGAAAAAGCTGAGCCTCTTTTTGCCCTGCCTTTTGAGATAAAATGTGTACCAAAATTATTATATTGAACTAATATTGTTGGTTTTTTAGGGATATTTAGCGCTGTTTTGTTTTGTTGTGTGCAGGGTCTTACGCCGGGGCAGTGATCGCGATGCCGTTGGCGGGGATCCTGGTGCAGTACGTGGGCTGGCCCTCTGTGTTTTACGTTTATGGTGAGTCTTATATTGTGCAAATATTTGTTGTTTTATCAGTGGAGTTAAAGTGGAATTAATTTGACTTAATCTTAGCTCAATAAATCGACATTTGGGCCACAGACAGAGTTCCACAGACAGAGTTCCTCAGACAGAGTTCCACAGACAGAGTTCCTCAGACAGACTTCCACAGACAGAGTTTTTCAGACAGAGTTCCTCAGACAGTTTCTCAGACAGAGCTCCACAGACAGAGCTCCACAGACAGAGTTCTTCAGACAGACTTCCACAGACAGACTTCCACAGACAGAGTTCCACAGACAGAGCTCCACAGACAGAGCTCCACAGACAGAGTTCCACAGACAGAGTTCTTCAGATAGAGTTCTTCAGACAGAGCTCCACAGACAGAGTTCTTCAGATAGAGCTCCAGAGACAGAGTTCAACAGACAGAGTTCTTCAGACAGAGCTCCACAGACAGAGTTCCACAGACAGAGTTCTTCAGACAGAGCTCCACAGACAGAGTTCCACAGACAGAGATCCTCAGACAGAGCTCCACAAACAGAGCTCCACAGACAGAGTTCTACAGACAGAGCTCCACAGTCAGAGTTCTTCAGACAGAGTTCCACAGACAGAGCTCCACAGACAGAGCTCCACAGACAGAGCTCCACAGACAGAGTTCTTTAGATAGAGCTCCAGAGACAGAGTTCCACAGACAGAGTTCTTCAGATAGAGTTCTTCAGACAGAGATCCACAGACAGACTTCCACAGACAGAGTTCTTCAGACAGAGCTCCACAGACAGAGTTCCACAGACAGAGATCCTCAGACAGAGATCCATAGACAGAGCTCCATAGACAGAGTTCCACAGACAGAGTTCTTCAGATAGAGTTCTTCAGACAGAGATCCACAGACAGACTTCCACAGACAGAGTTCTTCAGACAGAGCTCCACAGACAGAGTTCCACAGACAGAGTTCCACAGACAGAGCTCCACAGACAGAGTTCCACAAACAGAGTTCCACAGACAGAGTTCCACAGACAGAGCTCCATAGACAGAGCTCCACAGACAGAGCTCCACAGACAGAGTTCTTTAGATAGAGCTCCAGAGACAGAGTTCCACAGACAGAGTTCTTCAGATAGAGTTCTTCAGACAGAGATCCACAGACAGACTTCCACAGACAGACTTCCACAGACAGAGTTCCACAGACAGAGCTCCACAGACAGAGCTCCACAGACAGAGCTCCACAGACAGAGTTCCACAGACAGAGTTCTTTAGATAGAGCTCCAGAGACAGAGTTCCACAGACAGAGTTCTTCAGATAGAGTTCTTCAGACAGAGATCCACAGACAGACTTCCACAGACAGAGTTCTTCAGACAGAGCTCCACAGACAGAGTTCCACAGACAGAGATCCTCAGACAGAGATCCATAGACAGAATTCCACAGACAGACTTCCACAGATAGAGTTCCACAGACAGAGTTCCACAGACAGAGTTCCACAGACAGAGTTCCAAAGACAGAGTTCCATAGACAGAATTCCACAGACAGACTTCCACAGATAGAGTTCCACAGACAGAGTTCCACAGACAGAGTTCCACAGACAGAGCTCCATAGACAGACTTCCACAGATAGTTCCACAGACAGAGTTCCACAGACAGAGTTCCACAGACAGACTTCCACAGACAGAGTTCTTCAGACAGAGTTCCTCAGACAGAGTTCCACAGACAGAGCTCCACAGACAGAGTTCCACAGACAGAGTTCTTCAGATAGAGCTCCAGAGACAGAGTTCCACAGACAGAGTTCTTCAGATAGAGTTCTTCAGATAGAGTTCTTCAGATAGAGTTCTTCAGACAGAGCTCCACAGACAGAATTCCACAGACAGAGATCCTCAGACAGAGATCCATAGACAGAGTTCCAAAGACAGAGTTCCAAAGACAGAGCTCCATAGACAGAATTCCACAGATAGAGTTCCACAGACAGAGTTCCAAAGACAGAGCTCCATAGACAGAATTCCACAGACAGACTTCCACAGATAGAGTTCCACAGACAGAGTTCCACAGACAGAGTTCCACAGACAGAGTTCCACAGACAGACTTCCACAGACAGAGTTCCTCAGACAGAGTTCCTTAGACAGAGCTCCACAGACAGATTTCCACAAACAGAGCTCCACAGACAGACTTTCACAGACAGAGTTCCTCAGACAGAGCACCTCGGACAGAGTTCCACAGAGTAAAATGTTTAAAACCATAACTATGGAGCATTCCTGGCAAAGTGATCACATCCCCATGGAGACGAGCAGGTGGCAAGTCCTCCACCAGAAAAGTTGCACATGGCTCCTTTAATTCCACCACTGTGTTTCTGAGCTGTTTAAATGTCCTATATTATGCAAAACTGATTCTTGTGAGCTTTTAGTCACGTTATAATGTTGTTATCCAAGAAGAACTCAGCGTAAAAGTGCAGGGTTTGTGTGTTAAACGTGTGAATGAAACAAAACACACTGAAACTACATCAGAACACAGATCAGAAAACAGCTTAATGTGGGCCCTTTAACAGAGGCGCCTGGTTATCAGAGCAGCTCATGTTTGATTAATTAAACCAAAAATCTCACTTTGCCAAATGTGTTTTAATAAAATGGCACTCTGCTTCTGCTGTGATGTTATCTGATGATTTATTGGTGTAAATGAGCCTGTTCCTGTCTGAGCCTCGGAGTCGTGTCTCATTCACTCCAGTTTAATAATGAAAAATCTGCAGAGCTGCTCCTTAAATGCTCCGGTTTTATTATTAGTCGGGGCGCTTCTGTTTGAAATATCTTCATCCTAAAGGTGCACTGCGTAACTTTGCATGGTGGTGTTATTGCTTTGTCTGTAATGTTCCACAATAAGGTATTAAACTTATATGTAGTTGCATTTTTAGCTATTATGTGTAATTTTATTGCTCAAAAATACTTTAAAAACATGCATTTATTGCATTATGTGTGATTTTATTGCTCAAATATACCTTAAAAACATGCATTTATTCCATTTTATGTTATTTTATTGCTCAAAAATACTTTAAAACATGCATTTACTCCATTATGTGCGATTTTATTACTCAAAAATACTTTAAAAACATGCATTTATTCCATGTTATGTTATTTTATTACTCAAAAATACTTTAAAAACAGGCATTTATTCCATTATGTGTGATTTTATTACTCAAAAATACGTTATAAACATGCATTTATTCCATTTTGTCATTTTATTGCTCAAAAATACTTTAAAAACATGCATTTATTCCATTATGTGTGATTTTACTGCTCAAAATACCATAAAAACCTGCATTTTTACTGAGTGGACTCGCTTTTTCACAGATCTCACCTGTAAATTGTAGCAGTAGAGCCAAGTGACAGTGGTACAGGAGGAACAGGAGCAGCAGATACTCACACACCAGACTGACATTTTTAAAATATAAATCGCACTGGAGAATAAGTCACAGGAAACACACAAACTATGACAAAAGGTGCGACTTATAGCCCGAAAAATACGGTGAAAATAGTGTTACTCAAATAAATGAAACAAAACACACCTCCAGGTCAGTTTTTGAGGAGGGGACAGGGTTAGAACACGACTCAAACCTCACAGGAGTCAGTTTTGTGTAATATCGTGGTGTTAAATCGTGTACTCGTTGTCTTTCTCAGGCGTGTTCGGGTTCATCTGGTACATCATGTGGTTGTTACTGGCGTACGGGAGCCCGGCCGCCCACCCCACCATCACCGACGAGGAGAGGCTCTACATCGAGGCCGCCATCGGAGAAAGCATGAGCAAGCAGAGCGCCACACAGGTACGCGTTACAGCAGAGCTAAAGCTGCACTGTGGAACTTTTCTAATGCGGCGTTTCCTGTGTGGTGTTTATTCAATTACAGGTTTATTTATAGTTGAAAATACCTTGGAAAAACATAAGACTCTGTAAATAATATTATATTAGACTGAAAGTTGCACTGTGGAACTTTTTGCGTCATCTTTTTCACCTGCTTGTTTCTACGGACACGTCATTTCTCTGCCTGTAGTGTGTTAAAGTGTTAAAATTTCAGGGTAAAATATTTGTAATAGTTGTTTTTAACTCAAAAAGTGTTATTTTAACAATTTGAAAGTTAAATGGGGGTTTGAGTTGGGGTTATTTGCCAGAGTTGATATGGCTGGAGATAATTCAGCTTCCCATAGTGTTAATTCAACTTCTCTTTGTGTTAATTCAACTTCTCTTAGTGTTAATTCAACTTCTCTTAGTGTTAATTCAACTTCTCTTTGTGTTAATTCAACTTCTCTTTGTGTTAATTCAACTTCTCTTTGTGTTAATTCAACTTCTCTTTGTGTTAATTCAACTTCTCTTTGTGTTAATTCAGCTTCCCTTTGTGTTAATTCAGCTTCCCTTTGTGTTAATTCAGCTTCCCTTTGTGTTAATTCAACTTCTCTTAGTGTTAATTTAACTTACTTTAGTGTTAATTTGGCTCCTCCCACCACCACTTCAAACTCCCACGAGATAAGACCAGTTTGAACCAGTTTTGTTCTTAATTTTATCTTAAATTAACTAAAATAAAGTCTAAAAATAAAACACCTCTGTGTGTTGTTTAGTTAAATCAGGATAACTCTACAAAGTGTTATCCGTTTACTCTCAAAACATTAATATAACTCTGGATTTCAGGGATAAACAGGAAATTTGGTCCAGTGTTACTTAATGAACATTTCCAATCATGTTAAATTAATTAAAAATAGAACAGACTGGACTTAAATAAACCCTGAGAAAATGTTAAAACTGATTCTGTGAGAGTCAATTTTAACACTTGTTTTTAACCTGAAATCAAGAGTTATTTTAATGTTTTGTAAACGGATAACACTTTGTAGAGTTATCCTGATTTGGTTTTACTTTTACACTTTATTTTAGTTAATTTAACAAAACTGGTTCAACCTGGTCTTCTCTCACGGGAGTTTGAAGTGGTGGTGGGAGGAGCCAAATTAACACTAAGGGAAGTTGAATTAACTTCAACCATATCAACTCTAGCAAATAACCCCAACTCGAACCCCCATTTAACTTTCAAATTTTTAAAATAACGTGTTTTGTGTTAAAACAGCTCCGAAATATTTTACCCTGTAATTTTAACCCTCCAGTTTTTGCTGTGTGGTGTTTATTCAATTACAGGCCTTGGAAAAACGTGTGTAAAGCCTAATTTCTACTCCTCTTTCACATATAACAGATCTGTGTGTTCAAAGCGTGGAGACTGTGTTTAAACTTCCAGATGTTTCTAATGTCAAGGCTGTGTTCTGTTAAACCACCACCAGAGGGCGACAACAGTCAGTCTGAGAATTTACCAAAACAGACAAAATAGAGAAGCAAATAAACAAACTTGGAGGAGTCCAGGCAGGTTTGAGATCACGTCCGTCGGAAAATAGTCAAGAAAACGATCTGAAAGAAGCTTTTATTTGTTTTGCAGCTGGTTCTAGTCACTTTTTAAAAACTTTAGCTGTGGTCAGCTCAGGTACTGCACCACTGCTAAGATTAACGCTCTGAGGAGACGGACCAGAACCACACAATAGACAGAAGCGTATATGAGTATCTAGAACGTAGAACATAAATCATTAATGTGCCTTTACTGTGAGCTGTGTCGCCTGTCCATAGATCTGACCTGTCATGTGGTTTTGGACAGTGTTGGGGAGTAACAGATTACATGTACCAGAATTACGTAATCAGAGTACAAATTATGAGTAACTGTATTCAGTTACAGTTACTGTTTCAGTGAGTGGTAATTGGATTACAGTTACTTTGTTGAAATACATGGATTACACTGCGGTAGTTTCCTGTTTTCACATTTTGGGCTAAATCCCCCCATTTTTTTTTCTTAATTCCACTCATTGCCGGACACTAAACCAGGTCTAAACCAGGTCTAAAACCAGGTCTAAACCAGGTCTAAACCAGGTCTAAAACCAGGTCTAAAACCAGGTCTAAACCAGGTCTAAAACAGGTCTAAAACCAGGTCTAAACCAGGTCTAAACCAGGTTTAAAACAGGATTTAACAGGTCTAAAACCAGGTCTAAACCAGGTCTAAACCAGGTTTAAAACAGGATTTAACAGGACTAAATCCTGCTGTGTGGACGTGTCTCCTCGTCTTCTATCAATAATATTTTTAATTTGGTTCAGTAAAGTCTGGGCTTTTTTATTTTCTTTTAACAGACAAAACATCTTATGTGAAGATTTCCTCATCTTTGCTTCTCTACAGCAAATCAAGTAATCCAAAGTATTCAGATTACATTAGTCACCTTAAATAACTTCATGGATTACGTTACAAACTACATTTTGGGGTATGTAATCTGTAATCTGTAAGGGAATACATTTTAAAAGTAATGTTCCCAACACTGGTTTTGGAACATCACCATCAGTTTTTTGCCCTACAGTGGAACTTTGTAGATACTCCAGGGGACGTTCAGATGGAGGCTCAAAACGTTACACAGCGCTCTTATAATTTTAATTTTAATTTCCTCGTTGTAATTTGTGTCTGCAGAAATTTAAAACTCCCTGGCGACGTTTCTTCACCTCCATGCCCGTCTACGCCATCATCGTCGCCAACTTCTGCCGCAGCTGGACGTTCTACCTGCTCTTGATCAGCCAGCCGGCGTATTTTGAAGAGGTCTTTGGTTTTCCGATCAGTAAGGTCAGTATCAGTCTCAAAACGATGACATCACAGCACTCTACACGATCCCGGTGTTCTTACTTTGCAGTTTTGTCCGTAAATTAATTCCTGTTCCTAATATGGAACTCGGCTCTAAATTCGCTCCTATAACCCCCGGCCACGATGAGCTTCATTTGACTGGAGCCGAACGCCGTGGGTGACGTCACACTCACTTTGTCCACTTGTTTATACAGTCTGTGGGTGGAGCACAGTGAGTTCTTGACTTTAGTCTCTAATAGAAATGATCAGGTTCAACATTCGTTTATTTACCTTTTGGAGATTTCTTCATAAAATACGACAGAAATCAATTTGTCTCCATCTCAGAGTCTGACATCATTGTTGTAGAATCTGAAAAAACACCAGTTATATAAACTTATGAATTTATTTATTTATTTAGTTAGTTAGTTGTTTATTTAGTTAGTTTTCAGTGGGACAATGCACATTAATAAACATTACCGTGTTTTCCGGGCTATTAGTCGCTCTGGATTATAAGACGCACTGTCATTAAATGGTCTATTTTCAAACTTTTTTCACAAATAAACCTCGTGGGACTGTAAATGAAACCCGACAGTGTGATGGGTGAGTGGTTTTGTTTGTTTGTTCGTTCACGGTGACTCTGGGCTTTGTTCAGTTGTGGCGTGTAGGGAGGGTGTGTCTGGGACCAGCGGATTGTCGGCGTGTTCGCAGTGACTCAGTTGTTCAGTCGTGTCTAGAAGCGGCACGTCGCGCTCGCTTTTTTCGGTTCGTTCCTCCGTTCCGTTCCTCGTCAGCGTGGAGTGATGAGTGTGTCTGTGGGTGTGTTTCGCTGTGCGGTCGCTGTCTGTTCCGTGTGTGTTTGTGTGTTCTGCGGGTGGTGCGGCTTTGTAGTTTACTGAAGTCGTACTGGGACACCTGAGTGGATTCGTGTGTGGGGCGCTCTGGATTGTGGCGCGCGGTCATTTTTTGATGAGGTTAGAGGCTTAAGAGCGAGACTAATGACCCGGAAAATACGGTGCAATAATGTAAAAGTTCATAAATTCATGTAAAAGTAATTTCTTTAAAATACAAGTACAACTAACATTTAAATACACAGTTATATATTTACATAAAAACAAACAAAAAATATATATGTATATGAAGTTAGTGCTCACATTTTTGGGATTCATTTAGACACTTTTTGGTGGGTGATTATTTTTCCATGGGGCCACAGAGAAACAGAAAATACTAAGGAGGCCAAAATGCTGAAGTAAATTCTGCATAATATGATTTTTTTTTTTTTTTTATAAAAATCTGTAAATATCATTGCTTTGACGAACTGCTCAGACTGGGAAGAGTTTCTTTTATGACTAAACAATGAAAAAGTGAAGCTGCCGAACAAAAAATGTCATTTTAAAAAAAACTGTAAGATAAAAGCAATGCAACTTTAGTTCAAGCATGAGATAAAATTATAAAATATGTTTATTTTGTAATTCCAAATTATCTTAAACGGGCCGGTCAGAGTCGACCACATGTGGCCCTGGAGCTGGACAACGCCCAGGTCTGGGATAAACCATTAGAATTTTATTGGTGGTTTTCAGGTTCTAGAATGTGATGATGTCAAACTCTCAGATGGAGGAAAGAGACACATTTTCTCTGTTGATCACATTGTACTTCACCATAAAACATCCAAATATTGAACCTGGTATTTTCAATTACCGACTAAACCCTAGAACTCACTTTACTTCAACATAATTTTACATTTTAACAATATTAATTGTATCTGCCCCCATCTGTGTTCATTAATGTTGCCCTGAAGAAATGTTGTGATGCTGTCTGAAACCCAAAAATACACTAGACACACAAATATGACGTGGTTTCAGAAGGTTTTTAGTGACGTTTATGTGTAATTTTTTAAAGTTTGTGTTGAGTTTGTTGAGTTTGCGTTGAGTTTGTGTGAGTTTGTGTGAGTTTGTGTTGAGTTTGTTGAGTTTGCATTGAGGTTGTGTGAGTTTGTGTTGAGTTTGCGTTGAGTTTGCGTGAGTTTGTGTTTAGTTTGTTGAGTTTGCGTTGAGTTTGTGTGAGTTTGTGTTGAGTTTGTTGAGTTTGTTGAGTTTGCGTTGAGTTTGTGTGAGTTTGTGTTGAGTTTGTTGAGTTTGCGTTGAGTTTGTGTTGAGTTTGTTGAGTTTGTTGAGTTTGCGTTGAGTTTGTGTGAGTTTGTGTTGAGTTTGTGTTGAGTTTGTGTTGAGTTTGTGTTGAGTTTGTGTTGAGTTTGTTGAGTTTGTGTTGAGTTTGTTGAGTTTGTGTTGAGTTTGTGTTGAGTTTGTGTTGAGTTTGTTGAGTTTGTGTTGAGTTTGTGTTGAGTTTGTGTTGAGTTTGTGTTGAGTTTGTGTGAGTTTGTGTTGAGTTTGTGTTGAGTTTGTTGAGTTTGTGTTGAGTTTGTTGAGTTTGAGTTTGTGTTGAGTTTGTTTGAGTTTGTGAGTTTGTTTGAGTTTGTTGAGTTTGTGTTGAGTTTGTGTTGAGTTTGTTGAGTTTGCGTTGAGTTTGTGTGAGTTTGTGTTGAGTTTGTTGAGTTTGAGTTTGTTGAGTTTGTGTTGAGTTTGCGTTGAGTTTGTGTTGAGTTTGTGTTGAGTTTGTGTTGAGTTTGTGAGTTTGAGTTTGTGTTGAGTTTGTGTTGAGTTTGTGTGAGTTTGTGTTGAGTTTGTGTGAGTTTGTGTTGAGTTTGTGTTGAGTTTGTGTTGAGTTTGTGTGAGTTTGTGTTGAGTTTGTTGTGTGAGTTTGTGTTGAGTTTGTTGAGTTTGCGTTGAGGTTTGTGTTGAGTTTGTGTTGAGTTTGTTGAGTTTGTTGAGTTTGTGTTGAGTTTGTTGAGTTTGTGTTGAGTTTGTGTTGAGTTTGTTGAGTTTGTGTTGAGTTTGTGTTGAGTTTGTTGAGTTTGCGTTGAGGTTGCGTTGAGTTTGTGTTGAGTTTGTGTTGAGTTTGTGTTGAGTTTGTTGAGTTTGTGTTGAGTTTGTGTTGAGTTTGTGTTGAGTTTGTTGAGTTTGCGTTGAGTTTGTGTTGAGTTTGTTGAGTTTGTTGCGTTGAGTTTGTGTTGAGTTTGTTTGAGTTTGCGTTGAGTTTGTGTTGAGTTTGTTGAGTTTGTGTTGAGTTTGTGTTGAGTTTGTTGAGTTTGTGTTGAGTTTGTTGAGTTTGTTTGAGTTTGTGTTGAGTTTGTGTTGAGTTTGTTGAGTTTGTTGAGTTTGTGTTGAGTTTGTGTGAGTTTGTGTTGAGTTTGAGTTTGTGTTGAGTTTGTTGAGTTTGTGTGAGTTTGTGTTGAGTTTGTGTTGAGTTTGTGTTGAGTTTGTGTTGAGTTTGTTGAGTTTGTTGAGTTTGTTGAGTTTGTGTTGAGTTTGTGTGAGTTTGTGTTGAGTTGTGTTGAGTTTGTGTTGAGTTTGTGTTGAGTTTGTTTGAGTTTGTGTTGAGTTTGTGTTGAGTTTGTGTTGAGTTTGTGTTGAGTTTGTGTGAGTTTGTGTGAGTTTGTGTTGAGTTTGTGTTGAGTTTGTGTTGAGTTTGTGTTGAGTTTGTTGAGTTTGTTGAGTTTGCGTTGAGTTTGTTGAGTTTGTGTTGAGTTTGTTGAGGTTGCGTTGAGTTTGTGTTGAGTTTGTTGAGGTTGCGTTGAGTTTGTGTTGAGTTTGTGTTGAGTTTGTGTTGTTTGTGTTGAGTTTGTTGAGTTTGTGTTGTTTGTGTTGAGTTTGTGTTGAGTTTGTGTTGAGTTTGTGTTGAGTTTTGTTGAGTTTGTTGAGTTTGTGTTGAGTTTGTTTGAGTTTGTTTGAGTTTGTTGAGTTTGAGTTTGTTTGAGTTTTGTGTTGAGTTTGTTGAGTTTGAGTTTGTTGAGTGAGTTTGTGAGTTTGTGTGTTGTTTTGTGTTGAGTTTGTTGAGGTTGTGTGAGTTTGTGTTGAGTTTGTTGAGGTTGCGTTGAGGTTGCGTTGAGTTTGTGTTGAGATTGTATTGAGTTTGTTGAGTTTGCGTTGAGTTTGTTGAGTTTGTGTTGAGTTTGTGTTGAGTTTGTTGAGGTTGCGTTGAGTTTGTGTTGAGTTGTGTTGAGTTTGTTTGAGTTTGCGTTGAGTTTGTGTTGAGTTTGTGTTGAGTTTGTTTGAGTTTGTGTTGAGTTTGTGTGAGTTTGTGTTGAGTTTGTGTTGAGTTTGTGTTGAGTTTGAGTTTGTGTTGAGTTTGTGTTGAGTTTGTTGAGTTTGTGTGAGTTTGTTGAGTTTGTTGAGTTTGTGTTGTGAGTTTGTTGTTTGAGTTTGCGTTGAGTTTGTGAGTTGAGTTGTGTTGAGTTTGTGTTGAGTTTGTGTTGTTTGTTGAGTTTGTGTTGAGTTTGTGTTGAGTTTGTTGAGTTTGTGTTGTTAGTTTGTGTTGAGTTTTGTTTGAGTTTGCGTTGAGTTTGCGTTGAGTTTGTTGAGTTTGCCGTTGAGTTTGTGTTGAGTTTGTGTGAGTTTGTTGAGTTTGAGTTTGTTTGTTGTTGAGTTTGTTGAGTTTGTTGTTGAGTTTGTGTTGAGTTTGTTGAGTTTGTGTGAGTTTGTGTTGAGTTTGGTTTGTGTTTGAGTTTGTGTTGAGTTTGTTGAGTTTGTTGAGTTTGTTGAGTTTGTTGAGTTTGTTGTTGAGTTTGTGTTGAGTTTGTTGAGTTTGTGTTGAGTTTGTGAGTTTGTGTGAGTTTGTTTGTTGAGTTTGTGTTGAGTTTGTTGAGAAGTTTGTGTTGAGTTTGTTGAGGTTGTGTGAGTTTGTGTTGAGTTTGTTGAGTTTGCGTTGAGGTTTTGCGTTGAGTTTGTTGTTTGAGTTTGTTGTTGAGTTTGTTGAGTTTGCGTTGAGTTTGTTGAGTTTGTTGAGTTTGTGTTGAGTTTGTGTTGAGTTTGTTGAGTTTGTGAGTTTGTTTGTGTTGAGTTTGTTGAGTTTGTGTTGAGTTTGTGTGAGTTTGTGTTGAGTTTGTTGAGTTTGTGTTGAGTTTGTTTGAGTTTGTGTTGAGTTTGTGTTGAGTTTGTGTTGAGTTTGCGTTGAGTTTGCGTTGAGTTTGCGTTGAGTTTGTTGAGTTTGCGTTGAGTTTGTTGAGTTTGTGTTGAGTTTGTGTTGAGTTTTTGAGTTTGAGTTTGTGTTGAGTTTGTGTTGAGTTTGTGTTGAGTTTGTGTTGAGTTTGTTGAGTTTGTTTGTTGTTTGAGTTTGTGTTGAGTTTGTTGAGTTTGTGTTTGAGTTTGTGTGTTGAGTTTGTGTTGAGTTTGTTTGAGTTTGTTGAGTTTGTGTTTTTGAGTTTGTTTGTTGAGTTTGTTGAGTTTGTGTTGAGTTTGTTTGAGTTTGTGTTGAGTTTGTGTGAGTTTGTGTTGAGTTTGTGTTGAGTTTGCGTTGAGTTTGCGTTGAGTTTGCGTTGAGTTTGTGTTGAGTTTGTGTGTGTTTTTGTGCGTTCTCTCAGGTGGGCATCCTGTCTGCGGTGCCGCACATGGTCATGACGATCGTGGTCCCGATCGGAGGGCAGCTCGCCGACTTTTTACGCACCAACAAAATCATGTCCACCACAAACGTTCGGAAGCTGATGAACTGTGGAGGTACGTCTGCTGTGGGTTTAATAACTACTTGTTAGAATCTCGCTTTGTCTAGAATGTCTCAGAGTGTGGCATTAAACAAATCGATTTCCATGGAGACAAGCGCGCAATGCCTCCAGGTCAAGTTACAGGTCAGATCTGTGGAGAGGAAGGCTCTAATGTTCCTCTGATGTTCCTGTGATGTTCCTGTGATGTTCCTGTGTTGTTCCTCTAATGTTCCTGTGATGTTCCTGTGTTGTTCCTCTAATGTTCCTGTGATGTTCCTCTGATGTTCCTGTAATGTTCCTGTGATGTTCCTGTGATGTTCCTGTGATGTTCCTCTGATGTTCCTGTGATGTTCCGCTGATGTTCCTGTGATGTTCCTCTGATGTTTCTGTGATGTTCCTCTGATGTTCCTGTGATGTTCCTCTAATGTTCCTGTGATGTTCCTCTGATGTTCCTGTGATGTTCCTGTGATGTTCCTCTGATGTTCCTGTGATGTTCCTCTGTGTGATGTTCCTCTGATGTTCCTGTGATGTTCCTCTGATGTTCCTGTGATGTTCCTGTGATGTCCTGTGTCCTGATGTTTCCTCTGATGTTCCTCTGATGTTCCTGTGATGTCCCACTGACGTTCCTGTGATGTTCCGCTGATGTTCTCCTGATGTTCCTGTGTTGTTCCTCTAATGTTCCTCTGATGTTCCTCTAATGTTCCTCTGATGTTCCTGTGATGTTCCTCTGATGTTCCTCTGTGTTCCTCTGATGTTCCTCTGATGTTCCTGTGATGTTCCTCTGATGTTCCTGTGATGTTCCTCTGATGTTCCCCTGATGTTCCAGGTTTTGGGATGGAGGCCACTCTTCTTCTGGTGGTGGGTTTCTCTCACACTCGCGCTGTGGCCATCTCCTTCCTGGTGCTCGCGGTTGGATTCAGTGGATTTGCCATCTCAGGTCTGCACTCTTTACATTTATATTTGTGTCTTAGACTTAGACAAACTTTATTGATCCAAAAGGGAAATTATTTGGACGCAGTAGTTCACAGAAAAGTTACACCGTGCAGCTTTAAACGAGTAGAATCATAGAAGTGTGAGTTACAGCTCCGACGTTTGACTGATTAAAACTGAATGAACCTGTTACTAAATCATGAATGAACTCCTAACTAATAAAACAGTTGCCTATTAAAAGGTCGGAGCACATCACTGATTTGTGACGTGGCGTCCGTGAAAGAGCCGGATCTTTTGAACGGTTCCTTAAAGTGAACAGTTGGATCTGGATCGTAGCTTTTTTTAAAGGTCTGAATCTGAATCTTTAAAAATGTATTTTTATTGACTCTGAACCAACACAAGAACCAGCACAGGAAACAAAACAAGTGCGAGCTCTGTGCATGGAAACATTTCACATCTTATTAACAGTTATATTTTTAATAACTAATATTGTAGAGCAACATTTTATTTAGATTTTCATCATTTCAAAAAGTAAACAGACTCCCACTCTCAGTCTGAACCATTTTAAACAGATTTGAGGTTTGGACACATCTCTGTGATGAGTTTGTAGATAAAATTTGTTCACACTAAGGTTGTAATGATGCAAAGTACCACAGTGCATCACGATTATAAAATATGACGATGTGAATCGTGTCAGAGCTGCGATGCACAATGCGGTTCATTCAGATACACAGATGTTACTGCTAAAAACATAATTATAGTTCTGCGTCGACTCAGCTCACACTGTCGCCGCCGCCGTCGTCTTGTTGCCGTTGTTTTTGATTTATAGATCTGCGTCGAGATTTATGCGCCGTGAGGTCACCACCACAACACCAGGGGGCGCTGAGTCGCAAAATCACATGAACTCGTTGGTGGAGTGTTTATCTTCCTTTTACAACATTCAGCCACACCAAGGTTTTTTCCGATCTCCCTCCATGAAATACTTGACATTTGGCTCGTTGTAGCTTTTGGAAGAGGAATTGTAGAAGTGATCACATTTCCTCACCTCTTCAATCAGACGTTCCTCTAGTTGATTCATCTTCGGAGCAGGAGGATTTTAAAAATGGCTTCTGTGTTTACAAAATGAAGCAGGAAAGCGAAATGACGGAAATGTGTGTAGAGCAGATGTAGAGACGACCAATCACAGCCCTTGCTCTCTGCTCTCTGCGTCGGTTCAATGTGTAGTTACAAAATTTTTGAGGTGCACGTCGGTCGACGCAGACGATCTGTGGACGGGGTTCAAGGCAAACGCAAACGACCATAACAACCATAAACAACCACAAATTGGGCATAAAGACGGCAGCGAAAGCCCAGAGCAGCTTAAACCTAGACTGAGGAGGATCTAAAGCCTCTAAAAACAGGATTCATGACAGAGATAGTGTCTGTTTTACCTTTGCGATGTTTTCACCGAGTCTTAAGAGTGAAAAACAAACTGGACAAATTGGAGTCGATGTCTCATAGTCTTTAGTCTAATGAGAACTTAACAGAACACTGTAGTTGCGTGAAAGAGATACTAAAATTCCATGACTTTTCCAGGATTTCCATGACTGTGGGAACCCTGGAAATTTGAACTCTGTTATACAAATAAACATAAAAAGAGCCAGAACAGCTCTTTGAAATGAACCGATCCAAAAGATTTGAATCCCATAAAAAAGCCTAAAGTTCCATCACTGTTTTCACTGTGAGAAGTTTTATGTTTTATATTGTTGCTTTTTTACATTTGTTTTTAGGTTTTAACGTGAACCACCTGGACATCGCTCCTCGCTACGCCAGCATCCTGATGGGCATTTCCAACGGCGTGGGCACTCTGTCCGGGATGGTGTGTCCGCTCATCGTGGGCGCCCTGACCAAACACAAGGTAAATCCTCACACACTGTTGGTACTTTACAGTGAGGGGGGGTCCTACATGTATGTTTATATAATGGAATATTCATGGAATATGCGGAATATAAAACCTTTATTTGCACAACTCTGTGTCAAAACCACCGAATGTCTCTCCCTCCACAGACCCGCTTGGAGTGGCAGAACGTCTTCGTCATCGCGTCCATGGTGCATTACTCTGGCGTCATCTTCTACGCCATCTTTGCGTCGGGCGAGCAGCAGGAGTGGGCCAACCCCGAGGACATGTCCGAGGACAAACTGGGCATCATGGACGACGACGAGCTGGCCGAGGAGGCGGAACTCACCAACGAAAACTCTGTCGCCGCCCAAAAGAGCTACGGAACCACGGACAACTCCTCGGGGCGCAGACAAGGCTGGAAGAACAAGAGAGGAGCCACAATGCAGCAGGAGGACGAGCACTACGGCAACGGGGACTATCAGGAAGGATACCAGTGAATGCATTTGCCCCCGAGAACGAGAAACTACAAAAAAACTACAAAAAAGTGTTTAAGAACTGGCTCGATTTGCCTTTATGATTAACTGTGGGATCATCCACACACTGTAAACATCATGAACAAGGCCACAAGGTTAATTTGTGGGAGATTTGGAGAGAAGCAGTTGGTCGATTTGCAGTGCTGTCAAAAAGTATTTGCCCTCTTCCTGATTTCTTACTTTTTTCATCTTTGTCTCACACTTGGGTTCTGCAGCAGGACATTCAGCCTCATTCATGAAACATTCTTATGAACATATTTGTCTTTAAGGCCTTTTTACAAACACTTTGGGCATTCACAAAACTTTCTCTTAATTGAAAATGTTCTTCTGGAACAAATTCTACGATCAGCCAGGAGCACTTGTAAGAACAAAAAATCTACAGTTTTAGAATATTATAACTCTAATGATGCAACAAAAAATTAGAATTCCTCCACGATTGTAAGTCATATATTTTCTTAAATTATTTCCTGTAAACATATGACTCTGTGGTCCAATAACATTTATGAGGAGTTTTCTAGAGCCTGTGTTTGTTGGGCCTAAAAGACTTTCTCTGGACTGAGCCTCAGTCTGTCCCAGCCCCAGTGCCTCCACATGGGGCCTCTGTCACAGCCCCCCTGAACCCCCATAAACCCCTCTGACCCCCCATCACCCTCCTGACCAGAGCGCACTCTTATGCACCCCTACCCAATCACGATCGCGGAAAGCACGACAAATACGATGTAATTTCAATAATTTTATGACTTAAATATTCCCTCCCTAAGTGTGTTCAGGTTAGTCAAGCTGGCACCACCTAGTGCCTCCGCTCAATTTCATTTCTCTCCAGCGACTAGATCAAGAATCAGAAAACACTAGATGGTTTACAACAACCCTGGAAGTGTGATTTCGGGCACCAGCCAATCAGAGAAGAGACAGACATTCTGTGTTGTCAACGATTCCCCAGATCGAGGATTTAAAGCTGGAACAAAGAGAATGTTTGGTGAATTTTATCAAGGGGAAAGACGTTATTGTCCTTCTTCCTACAGGATTTGGATCATTACATACGTCACGACCAAACAGCAGCGACTGGTTAAATACCGTCGAGCGAACGAATCCTAATGCTGCAAGGTCAGAGGGTTTCCACCGAGTGAAACCGTCTGATGAATTAGGCTAAAAAATCAGCCGTTGAAACTGCATTTTGTGTTTACTTGTGAGTTGTCTTTGTCTAATATTTAAGTTTACTTGATCTGAAACGGTTGAAGTGACAAAAGTGCAAAGAAAAGTAAGAAATCGGTAATGGGGCGAGTACTTTTTCACAGCACTGTATAGAAATAAACTGATGTAAGTGAATAGGACCGGCTTATATGATGTAAAAAAAACAACAGTTCATAATCAGTGTGACAGATATTTTCACCTGACCTGTCTGAAGCGTCGCCTGTCGGAAGAAGCAGACGGCTGTAGTTACCTCAAAGACACAATGACGCTGAATCGTATGAAATCTACTTCGCGATCTCAGCTGTAGAAAGTTGTAAAGTTGTACGGGCAGCAGGTCAACGTGTCCAACCTGTGTCAGATTTAACAGATTTAACACAGATGGAGGAATGTGAAGCGTTGAAATTCAGTTTTGTGTTGTACTACAGCGAGTTCTTGGCTCTAGTCACTAAGGCTGCGTTCAGACTGCAGCCTGAAGTGACCCAAATCCGATTTTTTGTCTCTATGTTCCTGTATCCGATCTTTTAATGACAGTCTGAACGACACAGATCCGATGTTTTTCAAATGTGACCCAGGACACTTGGATATTTGCTCCTGAAACTGATACATATCTGATCTTTTGACATGTGACTTCAGTGTGAACGGCCAAAGTGCATTCATCCACCTACACGTTATCAACAAGACACAAACGTCACTATTCTGCGCTGAAGTAGGCGAAAATTGTTAATGAACTCGGTGTCACTGAAGTGAAGCACATCTCCACTCACCACTCTTGGCTCCGTCTCCACATCCACACGTTCCTTTCAACGGACTGAACCACAAAACACCACGACCAAAAACCTCGTCCTTCTCCTTCTCAATCTCCTCCTTAAAACAAGTAAGTTGTTCATGTTGTGGCTCCGGTACGAGAGGAACTTTAAAATCTCCAGGTGCTCGATGCTGCGTCCATGTTTGGACAACTTCTGTAAACACAGAGACGCTCGCTGCGGTTGACGTCGTCGTGTCTCCAGTGTCACATGTGGGGACACTTTTTGGACCGTTTAATGTTCACACTGGAGTCACATACAAGTCACATTTAACTTGGAAATGTGAACGACCTCGAAAAAACATCGTATTTCACAAAAAAATCGGAATTGAGCGTTAAACCCTGCAGTCTGAACGTAGCTTAATAGAAACGATCAGGTTCAACATTTGTGCATTTACCTTTCGGAGATTTCACGGAAAAGTACAACCCCGTCGCCCCGGCTTCTGAACCCTCCTGCGGAACTGTGTGGAGCTATGCAATAACGCACCGTGAAAAAAAAAGAATGTAGAGCGTGTTTGGAGCGGACGACAGCGTTACCGTGATGACCCTTCTTGTTTTTTGTTTTTTTTTCCTGCCTGACTCTGATTCGAACTTTAACGGTCCTGTACATATTTGGTGTTGCTGGATGTTTGCTCCGTTTTGCGTCTCGTTTGGGTCGTTTGGTCTTTCCTTTTTGCCGCTGTGCTTCTGTGGTTGGTGCTTTGGACGGATGCTTCGGCGCGAACTTTGACTCCTCGGCTGTTTTTGTCTTTGCAGTTCTCGGTGTTTGCTCGTCACTCGACCTGGTTTTAAAATGTCTGATGCTGTAGCTTTAAAGGGGAGTGGAACATTTTCTGTCATTGTTTATCACGAACGCACAATAGAAATGTTTTGTACAGACCATGATTCAGTCTCATGAATCTGACCTGCTCTTAAATAAACACATTTTGGTTCTCAACTTGATGTCTGGAGATCACTGGGGCCAAAGGTTCAAGATCACGTCCTCTGCTGTTTTAAATGTAAAGGTCCTATATTGATTGATTTTTAAAATGTAATCCCCTACAGATTACAGATTACATACCCCAAAATGTAGTTTGTGACGTAATGAGATATACCAAAGGAAGTCATCATCCACATGTTTCCAAACGTCTTACACTTTTGTGACGTAAGTGTAAATGGAGCCCATACTAGGGGTGTAACGGTACAAAAATCACAGTTCAGTTTGTACTTTTGAGGTTCTGAGGTCACGGTTCAGTTAATTTTTCAGTAAAGTTTGGGAACAAAATGCAAAACCATTTCCTTGTTGTTTATTTTGTGTGTTTGTTGGTTTATACAAACGGGAAAATAAAATAAATGCAAACGGATAAGTTAAAAAAAACAAAACAACAAATGTAGGAAATATTATAAAAAAAATAAACTCCTTGTTAACAGTAAACAAAACTTTTCGAAAAGTAAAGTGCAGCACAAACAGTTCCAGCATGAACTTTTACTCAATCTTCAGATTTTTGTCCAGAAGAAACAACTCGTCCACATTCAAAAGAAAAGATCAGCGGGTGGCGACTGTAGTTTTGAGAGGATTCATGTGGCTTGGACATGATTAGTCGATTAATCGATAATTGATCATTAAGAATTTCATCGATTACGTTCATTTTAATCGACAAACCGAATGTATGTTGCTGTGTGTAGTGTGACCAAACAGGTGTGTACATGTGTCTCTGCATCAGAAGGAGCGAGACACAAACAGTGGGTCAGTCTGTAACGAACCGAAGCACAAATGTGGATTTAACCAGGATTTGTAGAAGAAATTCCACACTTTCCGTTGCGTTGGGACAAGTGTGAGTCCATGTGCACAGTGGATAAAGCAGCACATATGTTTCTGTGTCCAGTGGGAAAAAGTTTTTCCAGGTGAGAGTCGCTCAATGTGGATGACGAGGCCCCGCCCCCCTCCCCCCGTACGCTGTCCTGGTTTTGACAAACACAAATCTGGTCACACTGACCTGTATTCACCTGAGTCATGTCTTTTAATCCAACACAAGTTGAACCACATCAGCGACACAAGAGCTGGAGTTTTATCTTCACTTAGTTTATGTAAATTAGTGATGTGGTTTTAAGTTTTGTTTCTGTGAGATTTGAACAAAACTGAATTAAACACATTATAATGTCAAACAGCTAATGTGGATCTAGAGTCGTTATGTTTATATGTCGTAAAGTTGAATTTATTTATGCAGATTAGTGCAGATAGTAATAATAATGATGATCATTTTAATATAAAAATGTTAATGATTAATAATCGATCGTTAATTCTTCCGACGATCGATTAAGAAAATTTCAACGAATGCCCGTCCCTAGTTTGGAGGGACGTCAAGGCGGCCGCCCTGACTCTAAAACGCTGCGGGAAACTCTGCCCTAATTATGAACGAGTTCCCGTGAATATTAAAGAGCCGAGTGGCCGTGGAGCTGCACATGTCGTAGTGGAACATAAACACACACAAATTGCACGAGCACCGAACCCAACGTCCCGAAACAAAACGATTCGGCACGAATACATGAACCGTTACACCCCTCGTCTCTACCAGTCAAAAGTTTGGACTCAGTCTCTCATTCAGTGTTTATTACTTTCTACATCTGATACACACAGAAGAGATCACACATATGAACAGTGTCGGGAAGGTGACTTTTAAAATGTAATCCCCTACAGATTACAGATTACAGATTACACACACCAGAATGTAGTTTGTAACGTAATCCATTAAATTACTTAAAATGAGTAATGTAATCTGAATACTTTGGATTACTTGATTTGCTGTAGAGAAACAAAGACGAGGAAATCGTAACATAAGAAGTTTTGTCTGATAAAAGAAAATAAAAAGTTCAGACTTGAACTGAACCAAATTAAAAATATTATTGATAGAAGAAGAGACATGATTTAGTCCTGTTTTAGATCTAGTTTAGACCTGGTTTAGTCCTGGTTTAGACCTGGTTTAGTTCTGGT